CCTCCCCGATTTACCTCGCGTTACTCTGAGGGAAGAATGAGGCAGACGGGGATCGTGGTGCCGGGGGAAGGCCGGGTTCTCGTGGGCAGTTTGGGGCGGTGTTAGTCCCCCTGTGGCAACACGGCTGCAGGGGGCTCCAACCAGACCCGGCCTGGGGGCTTTCATCTTGAGGACTTACCTAATACCGAGAAGCCCATGGGAACCAGGCCAGCACTTTCCAGCTAGGGAGAAGGGGAATGCCCAAGTAAAACACTGGGATGATTTGGCCTCTGGATGAAGGATTTTTCCGCTGTAGCTGACATGAAAAACATAATGTTTGTTTTTGAGGCAATAGGGAAAGGAGGTGTGCTGTGCCAAAAACTGGGCTTAGGGGAAGCTGACTGGGAGATGTAGGGAGTTCCAGCAAGGAGCTGGAATTTATCAGGGAGGGAGGGTGGAAGCAGGGCCAGCTTTGCAGGGGCTTGGGCACAGCTCCCTTTTTTGAAGAAGAGACCGCGTGGCTTGTTACCCTGAGGGAGGGTCGTGGCCTGTGTGTTGGGGCGTAGGTGTCTGAGGCAGACAAGAAAACCAGTTTCCTTGCAGAGCTGCTTTGTGTCTTTCCTGTCAACCCCCAATCTCAAAACAAACTTCCCAAGAAGTTAGGAGAGATGTCAGCCTACCTGAATCATCGGTGAGTTCCTGCCTAGGAGCAGCTGATGCGGTCAGAAAAGTTGGGCCTCTGTGGACTGGCTCCAGTGGAGGAAACCGTTTAGAGAAGTAAGAAGCTACTTTTCAAGTCCCCATCCTATGAATGAACTGTGGAGAGGGGTTCAGTGGCTTGAACATTACTAATGCTTCCTTGGACTTCTAGGGGAATCCTGCAGTTAATTCATGGTCTTTCTGGTGTGCAGCACATGGAGCAAAGACACTTCAGAGTGCATAACCCTTTACCACGGGGCTATAGGAGCCAGAAATTGCAGAAGAGTGATTATGGCCACTACTGCTAATAACCGTTTTCTAGCAACCGCTGCTTGGTAATGAATTTTATCAGAAAAGGGATCCAACAGTAGGATCGAGACAGTGGAAATTTTTTCACTTGGCTTCCTGGGATCAATATCACGTTTATTAGAACAAAGAGAGGTCATTGTGTTTTGGCAGGGGGGATTATCTCACTGCTTAAAAAGTTAGTTAATGTTTAAGTCTGAAAATACATTTGCAAAAGGACAGAAATTTGTAGCATATAATAATTCATAATAGAGAGCTTTACTGAACTATTGTGGATTGTTTGGTACAGATGGAAATTCTAGTTTAAGAGAACAGCAAATCCATGTGATTTGCAGCCTTTTTTAATGGAATGATTACATAATGTCTATAAAATGAATGATTTCTCTTCTAGGACTTTTTGGAGATTTGGATACTTTGCCAGACTACTGAAAACTAATCATTTTAGGACAGCTGCATCAAATACATCATTTCCAGCAGCTTGGATGCTACTGGAGCAACATTCTGGCAGGATACCTGGACTCTTTGTAGTAGTTAAAAAAAGTAGGTTTTTTACAATGCCTGAAACTGTGGAGGATAAAGCTAATCTAGAACTGTATTCGCCACATCCAGAGGTGCGTGGGATGACACTGCTCAACAGAGAAGCTTTTAAAAGGACAGTTGTTGTTCCAGTTCTTAAAGTCAAGAAAGAAATTGTAAATGCTTTGCTAAAGTCCCTAAAACACGCGGTCCTACAGCGCCCTGGCCTCAAGCGAGTGGTTGAGGATCCAGAAGATGAGGACAGTAGACTTGTTATTCTGGATCCTCATAAAATACCAGAATTCTCATTGGGAGAACCTGAGCAAGAGGTACTAAAACAGCTTAATGTTTGTCCTGAGGTGTCCAAGTATGACCTGGAGCTGACTTATGAGAATTTCAAGTTGGATGAGATCCTACGAGCAGTCCTTCCTGAAGGTCAAGAAGTCACCTCTGGATTCAGCCGTGTTGGTCACATAGCTCATTTGAATCTTAGAGATCATCAGCTACCTTACAGACATTTGATTGGTAGGTAAAACGACGCTTCCCCAAAGCAGTAATTGGTGTATTTTGTGTGTTGTTAGAAAGATACTTTAACAATTATTCTGCCTATAAATTATTACTTGTGCAAAGAATACTTGTGAGTGCTTTGCTTTGGTCTATGTTTTGACTTTAAATAGTGTGGTGCTGATGCTGTGCTGTGCACAGAAGGCACACTTCTCTCCTCTTACGGGAACTATGAGCCTTGGGCCAGGGTACAGTATGTGCCTTAGGAAGATGCCACATCTGCAGCCCTGAATCATTAGAGGAAGGCTGTTCTAATACATGCTTGCTTTTGTAAATTTAACTGTAAACCACAGTGGTTTAATCTCTTGTAGGAGATGAAGAGGTTGTTAATATATTAACCGGAATATATTTGGCCCTCTCTTTCAGGCCAGGTTATAATTGACAAGAATCCAGGAATCACCTGTGTAGTGAATAAAACCAGTATTATTGACAGCACATACAGAAATTTTGACATGGAAGTGCTCGCTGGAGAGAGCAACCTAGTAACCAAGGTACGGGTTGTTTTGAATGCAGTATGTTAAAACCCAAAGACATCTACTGGGAAGGTGTGATGAATGTGATTAAGAGCGTTCCTTTGCCCAGCGCCCTTCATGATGCTCCTTTTAGAGTGGAAGAGTTGGCGGTTACTTCTGTGTTCATTTGTCCTGGCAAACTCACAGCCACAGGGATCATGAAGAGCAGCATCCTTTCAAGTTCACAGCCTAGATTTTAATGGTATATAAAAGCAGCAGAAGTAAAGGGTTCTTACAGAGATAGTAATTACAGCTTTGTAGCAAGGGGTGTTTTTCTCTCTAAAGCCAAAATTTGTAGTGGATTTGATGTAAGAAAAGTACTGTTTCTTAATTTCACCATGCCTGGTAGAGTGGCTGGTACAGAGGTAAGACTGTGGTTTCAAATCTCACTGGCTTTGCAATGTAAGCAAGATTTTCCCTGTGCCTTTTCCATTTTCTGTCAGCAGCAAGACAAACCTCATCTCTCCTCTGTTTTGACATTTTTCAGGTGCAAAGCGCCACGTAGCTGCCAAGAATTCTTCACGTAGGGTTTCTTGTCTCTAGCTGGAAACTTGGCCACTGGTTTGACCAAAAACTATTTTTCCTAACTGTCAGCAGTTTTATTCTTTTAGAAGAGAAAACATCAGATTACCAAATAAAAAAGGAATAGCTTGGTGGAACATCCTGTACATGCCCACAAAAGGCATTTGAATTGCCAAGGCAGAAGTGACAGTCAGCTATTCTGTAGATGGCATTAGCTCAGACATCCAGCGCACCACAGAGCTGTGCACCGAGGAGCGCGGGCACAGTGCAGGGTGTTTCTTGTTGGCAAAGCAAATGATGCAGTGATTTGGATCCGAAGTGGCCTTCCTTTGGAGTCACACAATTCAAGTGTGGTGGTGCAAAGTAAGCATCATCTTGCACCCCACTCTCACCTGAATAAATACTGTTTCTTTTCAGATCTGTTTTTAACATAGTGGTCATCCCAGAATTGGGGTTTGGATCGGTTTCCAGACTCTGTCACCTTGAGAGATAAAACCCAGTATTTTTTCAGTCTGCAGAACTGGCTCCCAGTGGCTTTGAATTTGGCTGCCTGCTGCCGTTCTTGTACTGTATCATTTTCAGACACTTATTTAGTGTGTGGACCCTGCTAAGGAGGGCTTGAGGCATCTTCCCAAGATCTGCTTTCAATAAAAGAATTGTCAGCCAGCCACAAAGCTCTTGAAATGCCTCAGTTTTGTATTTTTTTAATGGTCATTTTAAGTTTCTGCTTTATTTCTACCTGGTGTTTGAGGCGTGTGTAAGCCAGCCACCTGGATTGATAGTTGGGATGTTCCTCGTGGCTATTTCTGACGAGCAGATCTGTTTATACAAGGTTTGTGTGTGCTACTAATGGGACAAATGCTAATGCACACGTTACCTTTTGATAAAGCACCCTGGTTTTTAGCTGTCTTAATTACTGATAATGCTTAAACATGTCTAGAATTTGAACGCAGGTGCTTAACCAAATGTTCTGGACTTTCAGGTCAAAGAAAATAATACTGTGTACGAATTGGACTTTTCTAAAGTCTACTGGAACCCACGTCTTTCCACAGAACACGGCCGTATCGTTGAGCTTTTAAAGCCCGGTGATGTCCTTTTCGATGTCTTTGCTGGGATAGGCCCTTTTGCTATTCCAGCAGCTAAGAAAAAGTGCCGGGTATTTGCAAACGATCTCAATCCTGAATCCTACAAGTGGTTTCTGCACAACTGCAAACTAAACAAAGTAGACAACAAAATAAGAGCTTTCAACATGGACGGCAGGGACTTCCTCCTGGGGCCGGTAAAAGAAGAACTAAGTAAAGAGCTCCCACTTCTGAAAGAAGAACAGAAAACCTCTGTTCATATAGTCATGAATTTGCCAGCTCTGGCTATTGAATTTCTAGATGTTTTTAGGCACCTCTTAGTCGGAGAGCCACGCAGCACCACTGGCCTTCCCACAGTGCACTGCTACAGTTTCTCCAAACACGACAACCCAGCCAAAGATATTCAAGAACGAGCTGAGGCCTCCCTGGGAACCTCCTTAGATGGACGCTGCTCTACGTACCTGGTCAGAAACGTTGCTCCCAACAAGGAGATGCTGTGCATCAGTTTCCAGCTGCCAGTGGATGTGCTGTACAAGAGGCCCTGCCCTGATGAAGGTAAGGAAAAAGCCGCCTACCCAGCACTTGGATTTCAGACTATGCCTTTTGCTGTCTCAGGCTGGTCCCACCTTGTCAGCCCCGTGGGATGCTTCAGCCACACGACAGCAATGCTGAGCTCCGGTGTGAGCACGGAGCTGGCCGGCAGGACCGTGCACCTGCACACGTGCAGCGGCTGCAGGGCTTCCTGCGCTCTGTCGCTCAATACAGGGTCTCTGAAAGTCCTTTCTGGCATTTAGTAAAGACCCCCCATGATTGCTGTAACAGTTTTCATTTGTTACTGTTAATCCTGATTTAAACTCATTTCTTCCTGTTAAATCCTTTAAATGCTTGTGGTTTAGTTCAGTCTGTTTACTGCACATTAAATAACTTGTTTTTTCTAACCTCCTTTCAGCAAAACCAGCCTCTAAACGTCTGTGTACCAGCAAGTATTCTTCTGAAGAAAAGTTACCGAGTTGAAGACTAGAGTTACGGCAAATACTTGAGTAGTTTGTGTAAGGTACACTTAGGCTCCCTCTGGTTTACCCCTTGAATTATTTGAAGCAGACCTGTTACCTGTCTGAGGTGTCAAGATAAGGCATGTTGCAGCTTTCCTTGGTGAGCTGTGCTTCCTGCGTTTGCCTTTTTAAAATTGTGGGATCAATAAGCAGATTGAAACTGTTGTTACCTAAAAAAAATGAATAAATCCAAACCAATCCAAGCAATTTTTGGGCAATGTCATCCACAAAGAGTTTATTTGTACAGAGAACCTGGATCCCCTGCTTGGTTTCACATCAGTCCCAGCCCAGAGCTCGTGCCCAGTAACGCAGTGACCAGATGTCCATCGCCCTCCCTGCCTCTGCTGCCGTGGCTCCAGCATCGAGGTCTGTAACCTGATGTCTCGCTTCTCCCCCAGAAACACTGCAAAGGCCCACAGTTTAGCTCTGCTCAGTGGCTCTGTGGTACAGCCTTGCCCTCGGCTACTCAGCCAGTGCTCTGAGCAAGCCTCACGGCTTTTGTTATTGCTGGATTGCATTTATCAAGGGGAAAACCACCACTGTGTGCTTTCCTACTGCTGCCTTGAAGGCTTCCCATAAGCATCTGAAAGCTTTTGTGTCCTTCAGAGCCCCCCGTAATCACTGCTGTGGCGATAAGACCCTCGACCGCTCTGGAGTGATGCGGTCACCCTGTGATCTACACTAACGTGCTCTGCTGTACTGCCAGGACTGCAGGTCCCTTTGACTGCACTGCTTGATGGCCCACATTTAGGGCTTCTTGGCACTACGGCACTCACAGAAACCTGGCTGCGATCCCCATTCTTGCGTTAAGCAAGACAACTGTAACTGATTTTCAGTATGTGACTGAAGTATCCCAGGGCAGGGAAGGATATTAGTTCTTAGAAGTTTTGTTCACCTAAGGATTAAATGCCATTGTTATTTTAGCAGCACAACTTTAGATGCAGATCAATGGATTATATGCAGCTATACTTGTAACCAAGGGTTTTTCCACATTTCTGTGCAGTTTTGCATGTAACTCTTCCACGTGAAAGGGCAAACGATAGCTAAGTCCAGGCCACCTGCCCCTGGCAGGGAGCAGTACTCACAGGTACGACCTCTTCTGCACCTCCACCTTGTGTGTTACACTACCTGCCAGTGACTGCTCTGGGCACAAACAACAGGATTTCAGAGAAAGGACAATGGGAATTGGGGTACTTCCCTCTCCTTAAGAAAAGCAGCACTTGAGTCTGGGATAGAGCTTATTCTTCTCTTAATTACAGCATAGAAAATACACGTTCATTGAATACACTCCTTGCAGTAGTTTCCAGCAGCTACCGACAGATGACCCATTAAACATGGCCCAGGCTTTATTCAAGGTGCTCACTGGGCAGTTTATTCACACCCATGGCAAAGCCCAACCCTGCCACAGGAAGCCCATCTCTGCTGCAGCTCATCTGCTTTCCACTGCAAGGAGAGGGGAAGCAATACATACAAGTGGGAAGGGCCATCCCAAAAACCAGACAAAGGGACGTTCCTGCCAAAAGAAGCTCCTGAACCCGTGACAGAAAAGTTGCAAACAGAGCTAGACAGGAGGAAAACAAAACCAATTTTGACTACTTCAACGACGCAGCCTTGTATCAAAGCTTCTTAGATTGCTTGAGATCTGTTTTCCAGACAAAGTTAAGAACCAAACGACAGCAGGAAGGATCCTGCACAAGAGTGGTGTCAGCACAGTTCCAGGGTTTCTCCTCTCGTCCAGCTGGCAAGAAGAAAATCCCACTTGTCTCAGCTGGGGAAACGAGTTCTATGGGAAGAAAATGTAGGCTTGAATATTGACACTAAATGTTATAATCAAAATGGCATTTAAATGCCTGTGCAAATAAAACCCTGCAATAAGAGTAAAACCACAAATTTTAATAAAGAAGTCTGGCTTTACTTAATCAAAACTTTACAAGTGTATTTCTTCAAACCTCAAACATACACTGCGAGCTATTCACATCTTCCATTAGATGTGGCTTCTTGCTCCAGCCTCCCCCAGCAGTGCCACATGACTGACGGGTTTTTCTTTATCTTTAACACTTAAACACAGCTGGTTTACACAGAGGAGTGACTGCAGCGTAGCGGCTGTGCAGATGGCAGCGATTTTACCCACCCTTGGCTGGCCTGGCTTGCTCCTCCCTCCGTTTGGTGTCCCTTGGTCACAGGCTGGTGCGCGCTTACTTACGGGGGCGCCAGAAAAGCCCACTGAAAGCATCTTGTAAGGCTCGGTGACAAGCAAGGGTAGAAGTATAGCCCCCAGCAATATCCTGCAGGGAGGCTGTTCGTACATGGTTGAGGTACCTAAACCAAAGAGAAGAATTCTTTTAGAGCAGAAATAAAGACATCAAACACCTGTGTGGCTCACGGTATAGTGAGATCAGGGCTGCTTTTGGGGAGAAAGCAAGGAGACGGAGCTGCCTACTGCTGGACAGCTGTGAATATATCGGTATCAAACTTCCACCAGTGAAAACGACGACGATGCTGGTGCACCTTCGGACAAGCTGCCCAGCCCACACACCGACAAAGCTCAGCTCTTTGCAATAGGGTGCAGAGGGTTCAATAACCTCAGTAGTTCCTTCTAAGACAATAACAACGAGCACAACACAAGCTTCCCTACGCTCCCACAGGAGCTGGAGGGTTTCAGCTCTGCCCAGTTAATGCTGGGCCAAGGGCTGACTGCAATGGCTGCTCTGATGAAAACAGGGCTGAACCTTCTGCTCTCAGGCCTGTCTGCATCTGTGGAGGAAGTCCACTGTCACCAGGGGAACGGATCTGTAGAAGGCTGTCGTCAACATTTTGGCTAAAGAAGCCTCTGAAATTCACTGTGAATTAAGCATCATCACCCACTTGCAGAGCCACCTGATTTTACACCAACCCAGCACATTGGGACGTGCTACCTATGCTGGCACTGCCGCAAGCTCCTGGCTCCCCTTAGCTCCTGAGGGCTCTAACGCAGTCACGTACACCAAGAGCTCCCACTAAAGGTGTCTGCTCCGGGGGCTTGAATGGTTTCATTCAATGCTGTAACCCTGCAATTCCTGCACCCCACATAAGACAGAGCTAAGACCAGATTCCTAGCTGATTCTGCACAAAAACTCCATCAAATATGGAGAGACACGGGCTGTAGCCTGGCATGATGAGCACGACGACAGCCCCAAATTCTGAATGCCAAATAAAATGCCATAACTGAAAACTGCTTTTCACAGTGGCCACAGAAGCCACGGAGCTTCAGCTGTAACTGCTTTGATTCATCGTCTGGTACACGCTGCTCCTGGGAAGACTGAGTCATTCCACCTCTGGCTTGGCAATTCAAGCATAAACTTGCAAAACGCACACAGCCTTTTATAATGTTATCCTGAGAAACCTAAAACAGCTGCACTTTTGGCAGAAAAATACAGGACCACCAGTAAAATATCCAAAACAGTTGCATCTTCTAATTTATGACTGTACACTGTTTCCATAAAGAGTATATAAAACAGGTCAGATTTTATAGGTAAGGCATAATAAACAGTCATACCTATTGATGCCATAAATGTGTAGAAAAAGAGGTTACTTAGAAATGATTAATTACAGTTTTAAAACTGTATTTCTTGCACCTAATAACCACAATGCACAGACGTGCAACATTTCTGAGTGATGGTTGTGAGATGCTGAAGTTGAGACTGAATTTGTCTCCCATGGCCGAGTTCAGGCGAGCTCCGCTGCTTGGTACCAGCCTGGGATGGAGCCGGGTCCTCGCTGCTAGACACTGGTTCCCATTGCCACGGGCATGGACAGGAGGGCACAAGCCCTTTCAATAGGATTCAGGCCAAAGGGAATCTACAAGCACAGCAGCAAAGCCGCTGCCTCTCAACTCGCAAGGGAAGATGGTCTGCAGAGAGCGCCTTTTCCATGGGAGAACGCATTTAACAGATCTTTACTTTTTTAACACTCTTGTTACTTCTCCCGTAATATTTTAGGGGGAAAACTCATCCTTCCCAAAGGCCTTTTACAAGTGCTGTCGGTAACAGGAGTTCCTTCCCCTGGCCAGGAATGACCAAGGGATACTGACAATAACAAATAATCTCCTTCAAAATGCCAGTGTGAAACTACCTACACCCTCCAAACCGGAGAGTCTTGTAAAGATCAACTCTCACCTCAGATTTTACTTCTATCGTGCTTATCCCATTGCACAAACTTCATCTTCCACTCATGCATGGAAGAGTCTGGAGGAAACAGGATTCTTTTACATTTCTACATTAACAAAGGTTGGTTGTGCATTTTCATTACTTTCCTTATCTTTCGTTCCTTTCCTTGTATCACTAAAAGAAAGAGGAAGAGTCCACTGTTTCCCTTTTTAGGTCATCTGAAATGGGGGCATTAGTTCCATAAGAAGGCCTGATTTACAGCTATTGCAGCATTTACAGTCAATCAGCGTGTGATCTCTGAAGCAATACAGTATCACTGCCAAAAAGGCTCGGGTGAACCTTTACTATGGCAACCTGCGTTAATTCTCCTCACTCCTGTAAGCAAGCACGGCTGGCTTGCCGCTGGCTGTCCAGTGAGGTCTTTATTATCTTGCTAAGTATCTGAACTTGCTGCTCTTGACCCACTGAATTACTGTGGTACACCAGGCAACTGCAAAGGGTCTGCCACGCCGAAGCCACACGACGAGAAGCAAAAGTTTCCCTACCGATCCCCATCTGCGCTGCCCAGATCCGGCCGTGCGCTTCACCGGAGAATCCCTCTGAGCTGGGATCCTGGGGCTTCTGGCAGAGGTCAGCACCCCTTCTCACGTGCACCTTCACAGCAGCAGCAGGAAGAAGCACTTGCCAAGGCTTATTTCCAAAAAGTCAAGCTCCGTTAGGTCTCGGGACCTGGAGGTAATTGCTCTCCCTAGTTAGCAAATTCCAGCGCACTAGGTCTGTTTTTCATAGGTTTATTTTAAGTACCTGTAAATCTTAT